ACCTAAGTAATTTTTCAGTCCTATGAAATCAGCCAAGCGAAAGTCAGGGACGGAGACTTGATTGCCATTATTAGGGGAATTCCATGATATATTAAAACTGAGTGATTTGTGATCACTTTCCCCAAGCTCATCATTAACTCAAGATTATTAATTAGTGTTTCCCTACTGGCAAGAACCAAGTCAAGGAGGTTATTTCCCCTAGTTGGCTCTGTCACAAACTGTTTTAAAAAACAATCCTGGATCGTATCAAGAAAGTCACCTGACTCTAAATTTCCTGTCAAATTGCTCCAGTCAATTTGTCTATAGTTGAAATCTCCCATTAGCACAACATTTTCGTATGTAGATGCCTTACGAATTTCGTCCCATAGAAGTTTACTGCACTCCCTGTTGTTAGGTTAGACACATATGCAACAGTTAGGTATCTTTATTATGAAACGTTTCGCCTACACAGTAGGCTTCTTCAGTCAAGTACAGAAAAGTTGATAGAAGCAGAAGATACTTGAAGACGATGTAATCAGTCCATCACCCTTAAAGTTTTGAGGTGGTCAGTCCCTCAGTCTGGAGAAGAGCATTGTTCCATAGTATGAAACAATATGGACACTGCACTCCCTATCAAGATTTGGGGCCCTGTAAATCACACCCAAAATTAGTTTTTCTCGGCCCTCGAGAAGCTGTAACCAAACAGATTCAGTGGCTGACGCTTCTAATTTAATATCTTGTCTAACACAACAATTTAAATTGTCTCTGACATACATCGCTACTCCACCACCTTTCCTGTTGACCCTGTCAGTGTGGAATAATTTATAGCCTTGTATGTGACATTCAGAGGGCATCTCTCTATCTTTCAGATTGAGCCAGGTCTCTGTTATAGCAATAATATCTATGTTTCCTGCACTAGCAATTAATCTTAGCTCATCTATCTTATTTCTTACACTCCTGCTATTAGTATAGTAAACCTTAAGGGAGCTAGTCCCTTGCTGCCCTCTGCTGTCCCCCTTTGTTTGCTGACCTGATCTATTGTCTTTATTTATAACTTCATGCTGAATGCCTTTTATACATTTACTGTTTCCAACCCAAGTGTTGCAACCTGCTTGTTTCCCACACACACCCATACCTCTATCTTCCATCAGTTTCAAATCATAGGCATTTCACCAATGGCCCTCTCAATCGAGTCTGCAAGTGCTACCACCCCAGCCCCAGAGAGATGTACCCCATCCCTTGCATACATATCATGTTTGCCATAAAAGTTGTTCCAGTTGTCAATGAATGGGATTGCAAGTTCCTTGCAGTATCTGTCTAGCCAGCAATTTACACCAATTGCCCTAGACAACCATTCATTTCCTACTCCCCTTCTAGGCAAGATGCTACATATGATTGGGATCCCTCCCTTAGACTTAATGAAATCTATAGCTGACCTGTACTTATCTAGCAGCTCTTCTCTCCTACCCTTCCCAATATCATTTCCACCAGCACTGAGACAGATAATGGGCTTGTTCCCATTACCTGACATGATATTATGCAGCCTGTTGACAATGTCCCCAACACCAGGTCCAGGGAAGCACACTCTATCTCTCATCTTCTTATTCCTATTACAAAAAGCACGGTCAATATATCTTACCTGAGAGTCACCAACCACTAGAATGCGCTTACCTCCATTAGCAGGGGCAGTAGTACCCTTACCTTCACTGGCCACTGAAGTACATTCATCCTGAAGAACAGAGAAGCGATTTCCTACCTTCAGATCTTCACTCTTAACTTTCCTTACTCTGATGCGCCTTCCATTACTGTGAACCACTCGCCACTTGTAGCAGGTGCTGGACTGCACCTCACTGCTGGTAGCCGTTGCTACCTCCCCAGCTACAGCCTCCTCACAGCGAGAGACAGACTGCACCTCACTGCTAGAAGCCTCATTCCCCACAACTCCAGCCACCTCACACTCTCTCCCAGACCCATTGAGGTGGACTTTCAGCCTCCTAATCTCCTCCTGGAGAAGCAAGACCTCCTCCTTCAACTCTCCAACCTCAATTTTTAAAACACTGCAGAAGCAAGCCATGCTTTGTAACCGTCCACACTAATCCCCAAAGCAGCTCAGGGTCTGTGACCTCACGTGACGACTGACCACTGAGTACTTTCTTGGATGCAGTCCCGAAGAAAATTGTGTCTATTGCGGAATAAGCTTTCAGAAGAAGGACCAGGTATTCTCTGTGTGAAGGATTCATTTCTACTGCAGTGTTTGACACGATGGAAATAAATGGTATAAAATACCTACAAATGGAAATATAAACACTTAAGCAGTATAATGTGATCCTTTATTGACAACGTTTCGCCCACGCAGTGGGCTTTATCTAGTCACAAACAGATTTACCTGGGTGAAACATACGTGAGTATTTGTAAGTTGAGAATGCTGGGTCAGGGGGAGAAAGGTGCATGTGACAATCTTCCGAGTAGTGATAGTCTAAACACTTGGGTAGCTTTTGAAAGAGATTGGGTAAGTACGTGAGTGGAGCTTCTGCAGTGTTCCTCGATTCTTATGTTCTTATCTAGGAGAGCGATGAAGAAGTTTCTTGGCGAGGGGTTCAGCTATGTTATAGAAGCCGTTGTTCTGGTTGAAGTTGTTGGATGTACAAATAAGTGATAATTACAGGATTCTTCAGCATTGAGTGTTGTCTTCTCTGGCGATAAGTCTTGCGTTTCTGTAGTGATTAAATGGTTGTGTGAATTTCGGTGTTGAACACAGGCATTCCTGTGTTCAACGTCGGTCGAAACATCCAGAGACCTCCAAACAAGTATATCAGAACACTAGTACGCAGACAGATCTGATGATCCTGGGAATGCCTGTGTTCAACACCTAAATTCACACAACCATTTAATCAACTACAGAAATGCAAGACTTATCGCCAGAGAAGACAACACTCAATACCGAAGAATCCTGGAATCATCACTTATCTGTACATCCAACAACTTCAACCAGAACAACGGCTTCTATAACATAGCTGAACCACTTGCCAAGAAACTTCATCGCTATCCCACCTAAGAACATAAGAATGGAGGAACACTGCAGAAGATCTTCTCGTATTCTTTTCCAGTCTCTTTTTAAAGCCACGCTTTTATACAAATTTTTGTATTCTATACATTGATGCACATTATTGCAGCCTATACATAGTACGTAATTACCGCGACGGTTTAAGCGCTAAATAATAATAATAAAACAAATAATAAATCTTTATATTCAAGGATAACTCCTCGACATACTGTTTCTGAACACCAAAGGCACGGAATTAAAGAAAGTGCGAAAATTTGGCTTGTGAAGGAGTCGTCTCTGCTGCCATGACTGATGCACCTACACTGATGGTTAGTACTTGTCTGGTTCTTGTATTGTACTGCAGCAATTGTATCACAGACGTATGTATTTGCCTTTCAGGTTCATAGATGAGTACACTCATCAGAGGAGTACCTTGATGGACGAGTACACTCATCAAGGAGTGCCTTGATGGACGAGTACACTCATCAAAGGAGTGCCTTGATGGACGAGTACACTCATCAAAGGAGTGCCTTGATGGACGAGTACACTCATCAAAGGAGTGCCTTGATGGACGAGTACACTCATCAGAGTGCCTTGATGGACGAGTACACTCATCAGAGTGCCTTGATGGACGAGTACACTCATCAAAGGAGTGCCTTGATGGACGAGTACACTCATCAAGGAGTGCCTTGATGGACGAGTACACTCATCAAAGGAGTGCCTTGATGTACGAGTACACTCATCAAAGGAGTGCCTTGATGGACGAGTACACTCATCAAAGGAGTGCCTTGATGGACGAATACACTCATCAAAGGAGTGCCTTGATGGACGAGTACACTCATCAAAGGAGTGCCTTGATGGACGAGTACCTCATCAAGGAGTGCCTTGATGGACGAGTACGACTCATCAGAGGAGTGCCTTGATGGACGAATACACTCATCAGAGGAGTGCCTTGATGGACGAGTACACTCATCAGAGGAGTGCCTTGATGGACGAGTACACTCATCAGAGGAGTGCCTTGATGGACGAGTACACTCATCAGAGGAGTGCCTTGATGGACGAGTACAGCTCATCAAAGAGTGCCTTGATGGACGAGTACACTCATCAAAGGAGTGCCTTGATGGACGAGTACACTCATCAAAGGAGTGCCTTGATGGACGAGTACACTCATCAAAGGAGTGCCTTGATGGACGAGTACGACACATCAAAGGAGTGCCTTGATGGACGAGTACACTCATCAAAGGAGTGCCTTGATGGACGAGTACACTCATCAAAGGAGTGCCTTGATGGACGAGTACACTCATCAAAGGAGTGCCTTGATGGACGAGTACACTCATCAAAGGAGTGCCTTGATGGACGAGTACACTCATCAAAGGAGTGCCTTGATGGACGAGCACACTCATCAAAGGAGTGCCTTGATGGACGAGTACCTCATCAAAGGAGTGCCTTGATGGACGAGTACACTCATCAAAGGAGTGCCTTGATGGACGAGTACACTCATCAAAGGAGTGCCTTGATGGACGAGTACACACATTCAAAGGAGTGCCTTGATGGACGAGTACACTCATCAAAGGAGTGCCTTGATGGACGAGTACACTCATCAAAGGAGTGCCTTGATGGACAGTACACCATCAAAGGAGTGCCTTGATGGACGAGTACACTCATCAAAGGAGTGCCTTGATGGACGAGTACACTCATCAAAGGAGTGCCTTGATGGACGAGTACACTCATCAAAGGAGTGCCTTGATGGACGAGTACACTCATCAAAGGAGTGCCTTGATGGACGAGTACACTCATCAAAGGAGTGCCTTGATGGACGAGCACACTCATCAAAGGAGTGCCTTGATGGACGAGTACACTCATCAAAGGAGTGCCTTGATGGACGAGTACACTCATCAAAGGAGTGCCTTGATGGACGAGTACACTCATCAAAGGAGATGCCTTGATGGACGAGTACACACATCAAAGGAGTGCCTTGATGGACGAGTACACTCATCAAAGGAGTGCCTTGATGGACGAGTACACTCATCAAAGGAGTGCCTTGATGGACGAGTACGACTCATCAAAGGAGTGCCTTGATGGAGGAGCACAACTCATCAAGGAGTGCCTTGATGGACGAGCACACTCATCAAAGGAGTGCCTTGATGGACGAGCACGCTCATCAAAGGAGTGCCTTGATGGACGAGTACGCTCATCAAAGGAGTGCCTTGATGGACGAGTACACTCATCAAAGGAGTGCCTTGATGGACGAGTAACATCATCAAATGTGTGCCTTTGAATGGACGAATACACTCACAAAGGACGTGCCTTGATGGACGAGTATCACCATCAAAGGAGTGCCTTGATGGATATTGTACACTCATTAGTGATGCCTTGATGACGAGTAACGCTCATCAAAGGCAGTGCTTATGGACGAGTACACTCATCAAATGGAGTGCCTTGATTGACAGTACGCTCATCAAAGGAGTGCCTTGATGCTTGTGGAACAACGTCCTAATACACTATGTCTTCTTTCGATTTATTCTCATAAATTCACATGTGCTGCTTCTTATTCTTAGCTAAATTATTATTTAAACAGAAATTTAACACTGAAAATACCGCATTATCAACAATATCTCACAAAGAGATATTCTTGATATATATTTATATTTTAGTTGTTAACTGTGCGTAATAAACAACTAACTCTAGACAGTAATACAGGTGATATTAGTAATTTTATGGTATTCTTAATTGAAAGTTTGAAGTCAATAAAGATTAATAAAAATTAGTAATTACTTGAGAGATCACTTACTCGCAAGCAAAATATTTTTGTAATTATTCTGAGTAGTTTAATCACTGTTCATAGTGAGAAGTATTTTGGGCTGGTAGGTAACAAAGAATCGCAGCCTTAATGACCCTCGTGTAGTCCCTTTAACTAACCAATAAAACCTTTTTATGTCAGTGTATATACGCTAATAGTTTAAAAATATTTCTGGTGAGAAGAAGGTGGCATACAGCTATAATGATGGTTATGTAGAAGGTAGGCAGTATGTCCTGTTAATTAACAATCCAAAACCATCTCTGTGTATTTTTAGTATATTTCTCTTGTATGTGTAATGAGGGAGGAAGAGTGCATAGCCACATGAAAGGATATATAACTCAGTATATATATTCACTTAGAGATTACTTTTATCCAACAAAGCCAATTAATTATTAGGAATTGGACTTGAACACGTGACATTAAGCTTTCAAGACCATCGTGTGTTGAACGGCTTTAAGCCACGTTAACCAAACAATAACACAGTGCGCGTGCTCTCTCTCTCTCTCTCTCTCTCACACACACACACACACACACACACACACACACACACACACACACTATATATATATATAATAATATATATATATATATATATATATATATATATATATATATATTATATATAATATATATATATATATATAGTAGGAAGGGGGTGGAGCTGCCAGCCACAGGGAGACCCAGAAGATCCGCAAATATGAAGACCTCTCCCTTGCTGTAACTTCATCCCAGTAGGGTCGGAGACCCTTGGAGCATGGGGCAAATGTGCTCTAAAGTTCCTAATAGAGCTGGGTGAAAAGCTCATCATAGAAACCAAGGACCACAGGGCGACCAGCTTCCTCTTTCAGAGACTCAGTGTTGCTATCCAGAGAGGAAATGCCTGCAGCATTCTGGGCACGCGGCCTACCGCCGGGGAGCTGGACCAAGTATTCGAGATGTAGCTCTGAGTTGCCTATGTTTTACTTTCTATCGTATTTTTGTGAATGTTTTGTCAATGTATTTTGTCTTTAAATAAGTTTATTCTTTTCTCTGAGGATGAGGGTCCCTATAACAGTTCTAGAGGTGGTACCTCCCTATATATATATATATATATATATATATATATATATATATATATATATATATATATATATATATATATATTGGTGAATGTTTATAAACCAAACGAGGCAGTTAGGGTAAGATATAAACTACTAGTGGAGGATAGATATGGGCTAGTGAGAGTATAGGCAATGGGGTCGATGATGCATGGGATAGTTTTAAGAATATAGTGTTTGAGAGTACAGCAGAAGATTTTGGTTACAGGAAAGTGGGTGTGGGAGGGAAGAAGAGCGATTGGTGGAATGATGATGTAAAGAGAGCAGTAAGAGAGAAAAAGTTAGCATATGAGAGGTTTTTACAAAGTAGTGATGCAAGGAGGGAAGAGTATATGGAGAGAAAAAGAGAGGTTAAGAGAGTGGTGAAGCAGTGTAAAAAGAGAGCAAATGAGAAAGTGAGTGAGATGTTTTCAACAAATTTTGTTGAAAATAAGAAAAAGTTTTGGAGTGAAATTAATAAGTTGAGAAAGCCTAGGGAACGAATGGATTTGTTACTTAAAAATAGGAGAGGAAAGTTATTCAATGGAGAATTAGAGGTATCAGAAAGATAGAGGGAATATTTTGAGGAACTGTTAAATGTAGATGAAGATATGGAAGCTGTGATTTCGTGTATAAGGCAAGGAGGAATAACGTCTTATAGGAGTGAAGAAGAACCACTTTTGAGTGTCGGGGAAGTGCGTGGGATAATGAGTAGAATGAAAGGGGGTAAAGCAGCTGGGATTGATGGAATAAAGATAGAAATGTTGAAAGCAGGTGGGGATATAGTTTTGGAGTGGTTGGTGCTTTTATTTAATAAATGTATGAAAGAGTGTAAGGTACCTGGGATTAGCAGAGAACATGAATAGTTCCTGTGTATAAAGACAAAGGGGACAAAAGAGAGTGCAAAAATTATAGGGTGAATAAGTCTGTTGAGTATACCTGGTGAAGTGTATGATAGTTATTATTGAAAGAATTAAGAGTAAGACGGAGAGCAGGATAGCAGATAAACAAGGAGGCTGTAGGAAAGTTAGGGGGTGTTTAGACCAAGTGTTTACAGTGAAACATATAGGTGAACAGTATTTAGATAAGGGTAAAGAGGTTTTTGTGGCATTTATGGATTTGGAAAAGGCGTATATGACAGGCTGGATAGGGGGACAATGTGGCAGATGTTGCAAATGTATGGAATAGGAGGTAGCTTACTGAAAGCAGTGAAGAGTTCTTACGAGGATAGTGAAGCTCAGGTTAGAGTATGTAGGAGAGATGGAGATTATTTCCCAGTAAAAGTAGACCTTAAACAAGAATGTGTGATGTCACCGTGGTTGATCAATATGCTTATAGGTGGGGATGTAAGCGAAGTGAATGCTCGGGTGTTGGCGATAGTGTGGTGTTAAAAGATAAAGAATCTAAAACAAAGTGGGAGTTGTCACAGTTGCTCTTTGTTGATTACACTGTGCTTCTGGGAGATGCTGAAGAGAAGTTGCAGAGGCTGGTGGATGAGTTTGGTAAGGTATGTAAAAGAAGAGTAATGTGAAGAGGATAACAAAAAAAATAGGTAACGAAACATTGGATACTAGATTGGAGGGAGAATGGAGGTGAATGTATTCTGGTATTTAGGAGTGGACGTGTCAGTAGATGGGTCTATGAAAGATGAGTCGGATCATAGAATTGATGAGGGGAAAAAGGTTAGTGGTGCACTAAGGCGTCTGTGGAGACAAAGGACTTTGTCAATGGTAGCAAAGAGTTGAATATATGAGAGTATAGTTAAACCAATGGGTGGTGAATGTTACAACAAAAAGGATGGAGGCAGTGGAGATGACATGTCTGAGAACAGTGTGTAGTGTGAATATAATGCAGAGAATTCGTAGTTTGGAAATTAGGAGGTGCTGGATTGCCAAAACTATTATCCAGAGGGCTGAGGAGGGGTTGAGGATGGAACGATATAGAATGACTTGGCGAGTGTATAAATCTGTAGTGGAGGGATGGCCGGGTAGGGGTCGGCCTATGAGAGGTTGGAGAGAGAGGTAAAGGAGATTCTGTGTGCGAGGGGCTTGGGCTTCCAGCAAGCATGCGTGAGCGTATTTGATATGAGTGAATGGAGACAAACGGTTTTTAATACTTGACGTGCTGTTGTAGTGTGAGCAAAGTAACATTTATGAAGGGATTCAGGGAAACCGGCAGACCGGACGCAATTACCTTGCGTATTAAAAAAGTGCAGTGATAGGTGTTTAATTACAATTTTAGGTAACAATTTTCGCTTGACCATCTCAGGTACTGAATCAGTCAGTATATCACTGTTATTTTATATAACTTTACAGTGTAGTAAGAAAATGCTTTCTGCAATAACTCATACATAATATATAATTACAAATGGAAGTCACACACATACTAAGAAAAAAAAATATTTATTTAAACTAACATTTAATGTGTAAGCAGAGTGGTAATACGGTGCCTCGTGGCCTGGTGGCTAAAGCTTTCTCCTCACACGGCGAGGGTTCGGGTTCAGTTCCCGGCGAGGGTAGAAACATTGGACGTGTATCGTTACACCGGTTGTCTATGTTCACCCATTAGTAAAATGGGCACCTGGGTGTTAGTCTACTGGTGTGGGTCGCAGCTTGGGACAAAACTGACCTAATTTGCGGGAAATGTTCAGCATAACAAGTGGCTTTCTGTATAGTAGTATGTCACTGATGTCAGCTATGGTATGTATACCTTGTACATGTACTTGTATACCTTGTACATGTACTTGTATACCTTGTACATGTACTTGTAGAAATAGATGTTATTATTATCATTAAATTAATTGCTGGTTGCACCATAATATCCTCTTTCTCAGGATCAATATTTGTAGTCAAATGTATCGTTATCGTTATTTTCACTTCAAGGGAAGTGAAAATAGCGATGGTGATGAATTCGTAATGTAGTGAGACAGCTATTATTGCCGTTCCTCGCATCATAGTTGATAATCTTCCTCCATTACCAGTCTGATATATTGTCCTAACAGGTTTACTCCTTTCTTATGAAAATACTAATAATTACTTCCCTACGAGTTTAGCGCTTCCAATGAATATAATAATATTATTACTATTATTGTTATTATTGAGGTAGGTTGGTAGACAGCAACCACCCAGGGAAGTACTACCGTCCTGCCAGATGACTGTGAAACAGAAACCTGTAACAGTTTTGCATGATGGTAGGATTGCTGGTTTCTTTTTCTGTCTCATAAACACGCTAGATAACAGGGATATCTTGCTACTCCTACTTACACTTTGGTCACACTTCAAAGACACGCACATGCTTATATATATACATACATCTAGGTTTTTCTCCTTTTTCTAAATGGCTTTTGTTCTTCTTTATTTCTTCTATTGTCCATGGGGAAGTGGAAAAGAATC